TGTCACTTTAGAGGTCAACAAAATTTATTCTAGCATAAGCTTTTGTGAGTCAAAGCTCACTTCTTCAGATGCTTCAGATGAACGTGGGCCCTGTTCATACGAGCTGTTTGGGCCGGGAGAAGGACGGATCGGGGCCGGAGCAAACGGGCGCGATCCCACAGCAACATCTGGGGAACGTCGTGCTACCGTCTCTGATCTGTCCCATCCCGCCCATGAAGCGCACCAAAAAAGAACCACCTACCTGGGTGGTTGTTTCGAATGGGCCGCGGCAAGTGCGGCCGTGGGATCTCCGGCGCGTCCTTGCGCCGGCGCATCCCCGGCTCCTGGCCGAACTGTGCATGTGTGAGCATGCGCAGTTCGCCAGCCTCCCCTTCCCACCGTTGCTTTCTCCCCGGCATCTGATCGTGCCGGGGAGCGATGGCGCCACGGCTCTGGGGATCCGTGAGATCCCGCCGCGCCGTCTCAACTTTGATGCGGCTCAGATTAGCCACAGTTCGACCGTCCTTTTCCCTGCCGTGTGGCAGGGACCATAATTAGGCTTTTATTCAGAGCCCCGAACTGACCAGCTCTGCCTTCCCATTCCCAGGGAAGCCAATCCTGAGAGGAAAGATAGTTTAAACTGCCTTCCCCCACTCGGGTTCCCCAGGCGGCCCGCAAGTCGCAGGGCACCTGGGGAAGCTGATCCTGGGAGGAAAGGCAGTTTCTTCCTTCCCTTGGGTTACCCAGGTGCCTCGCAGCTGCAGGGCTCTGCCTTCCTTCCCACGGGTTCCCCAAGCACCCCACAGCTGCGGAGAGCTGGGGAAGCCGAGCCTGGGAGGGAAGGAAGTTTAAACTGCCTCCCACCCTCAGGCTCCCCAGGTGCCCTGCAAGCCACGGGGTACCTGGGGAAGCCAATCCTGGGAGTGAAGGCAGTTTAAAATACCTTTCTTCGAGTTCCACAGGTGTCTCGCAGCTGTGGAGAGTCAGGGGAACCCGATCCTGGGGGTAAAGGCAGGCTGGGGAAGGGAGGGGGGCATTTAAATATGCCTCCTTCCTGAGTCTTCCCTTCCGCAGCTGCCCTGCTGCTTCCTCTGGTCCATTTTACTCCCCAGCTGATGGGCGGGGGAGCGAAACTCACTAGAGGTAGGGTGCTGGGGAAGGAAAGACTCCAGTGACCTTATACTCTATGGGGACTTTCCCCATAGGGTATAATAGCCGAATATATTTGGCAGTACCGAATTTTCCTGAACCCCAATATCTTACCAATATTGGGATTCGGGAATATTGGTATATACCGATATTTTTCGGGCTTGGTTTACCCGAACCCAAAAAATACCAAATTTTTGTGTGTGTGCACACCCCTACTCCACAGCTTAGAGGGAGCATTGCTTGTCAGGCGCCAGAAAAGATATCGGCAGGTGTATGGGCACTGTGTTGGGCACCCCTAAGGCAAGCCATTTTGCCTCCCCACTGGGGAAACAGTTACAGGGTAAATGCAGTAAATAAATATATTAACCAAGTTGGATCCGGTCCTTCATGATGGCTGTCACTTTGGTGCCGGGAAGTTATGTTAGTATTACAGTTAGATACGCAAATGCAAATAGGATAGCGGCGTAAGGGAAGTCGGTTGACTGTGCGTGATGGAGTAAACCTTAGATCCAGAGGAGTTAGCCTTGTTAGTCTGTTGTTGCAAAACGGTAAAAAGCCCAGTAGCACCTTAAGACTAACACACTTTATTGTAGCATAAGCTTTCGAGAAACACAGCTCTCTTCGTCAGATCCATGCATCTGACGAAGACAGCTGTGTTTCTCAAAAGCTTTTGCTACAATAAAGTTTGTTAGTCTTAAAAGGTGCTACTGGAGTAAACCTTGTGGCTGGTGTGAAGAAACTCAGTTACCCTGGGATAAATCAGCAAAGTGTGTTACCTTCTTTACACCCTTCCGGTACAGGCATTTAGCAAGCCTTTCACAGAGCAGGGAGAGAATCTTGCCGATGTGGTGCAAGAAGACGATATTCAAGGGGATGCCGAAGAGAGAGAAGACGACGCAGAAGAGCTGGCCACCTGCTGTCTTGGGAGAAAGATTTCCATAGCCTGTTGGGGGGGGTTTTGGGGGGACACAAAAAGTTGCATAAACCATCCTGGATTTATCATTCTCCTACAAAAGCTACAGAGTAGAATCGTAGAACCCTAGAGTGGGAAGGGACCTCCAGGGTCATCTAGTCCAACCCCCTGCACAAGGCAGGAAATTGACAAATACCCACCCACACACACACACACACACACACACACACAGTGACCCCTGTTCCATGCCCAGAAGATGGAGGGGGGGGTACATCCAGGATTCCAAGCCAAACTGGCCCGGAGAAGAATTGCTTCCTGCGCCCAAAGTAGCAGTCAGAGAAGGGTCCTAATCAAACAGGAAGTCACAAGGCTGAATGTTTAGTTATCTGAATGCTTCCCGACTCAGTTCCCTGCTCCTTGGATCGGAGAAACCCTCCATCCCCTGTTTGCTAATCTAGCTAAATTTATGTGCGAAGGGCCACGTTCTCACATTCATGTCATCAGGGTTTTCTCACACTGGAGGGTTTCCCACCCAAAACGAATTCTCGCCCGTCTCCCACCACCACCCCACCTGCAAGTATGTGGCTGGAATAAGCGACACATTCCGCATTGTTTCAGGGCCAGACCGTGTTGTTCTCGGCTCGAATCCATGAAGGCTTAGCAGCCACACCAGAATAATCACGAAACAAAACAAAAAAGAGTTATCTGCAATTCCAAATGCACTGCCACAGAGAGCCAAGAAAGATAGCCTGGGCTGTGTCAGATCCAAAGCAGAGCTGTTTATCTCACATGAGAGCCAGACAAACCCAATTCTTGGGTCTTACATGCTGTGTGTTATGGCACTCATTCCAAGATTGCTTTGCGCAGATTAATTACTCCCTAATACATTTTAATCATCTTTTATATGTGCTTACCAGAAAAACAAGTGCATTCCACATCAAATCAAGTTTTGACCTCTCCCTAGAAGTTAAAATGAGTAAACTGAAGGTATTGTACTTTGGGCACATAAGGAGGAGGAGGAGATTGGATTTATACCCCCTCCCTTCACTCGGAGTCTCAGAGCGGCTTACAAACTGCTTTCCCTTCCCCTCCCCACAACAGGCACCCTGTGATGGAGGTAAGGCTGAGAGAGAGAACAGCTCTGACAGAACTATGGCTTGCCCAAGGTCATCCGGCAGCTGCAAATGTAGCAGTGGGGAATCAAACCCGGTTCTTCCAGATTAGAGTCCGCGCACTTAACCACTACACCAAACTGGACTCAGTCAAGGAAGCCACAAGGGCCCTCAGTTTGCAAGACCTGAGCAAGGCTTTTAAGGGTAGGGCATTTTAGAGGCCATTAATCCATAGGGTTGCCATGTCGAAAGCAATTTGATGACACTTCACACAAAATACATGAGAAAAATTCGGTCGTAGCCGAGGAGTGGATACTCCTACGTGGCCAGTGTATGGCAGAGAAGAGATCTGTTCTGTGTAAATGGTTGTGGTTTTGTGTGCCAGTATGCTGGTCCGGTATAATATACTGGATGGTGTTGGATGTGGATTGGGGAGACCCAAGTTCAAATTTCATCTAGCTTTTTTTGTAGAAAAAGCCCAGCAGAAACTCATTAGTATAATAGGCCACACCTAACAACAGAAATACATTAGGATATTAGGCCACACCCCCATGCCCTCCCTTGGCTTGCCCGGGTGTCCCACGGCTGCTGGGAGTCCGGACAAGCCAGCCCTTGGAGGGGGGAAGGCACGGGGAGGCATTTAAATGCCTCCCTGATCCTTCCAGGCCCCCCCCCCAGCCTGCCCACCTCAGAGTCGCGGGGGGGGGGGTCGCTCTCCAGGCCTTCCTTCTATAGCTACACATGCAGAGGTTTTGTCCATAGTGGGTGTGGCCAACTCTGAAGCCAGCCGGAACGCCATTCCTGTGCGTTCCTGCCCAAAAATAGCCCTGCATCAAGCCACGGTACGCACTGAATGACCCAGGACTTGATTAGAACACAGCCTAGCTCACTTCAAAGAGCCGGTGTGACAATTAAATAAGAAATGTGAACCCACAGGTTCCTAAGCTCTTTGGCGAGACTGAGAGATGCAAATGTAATTATTAATATTAACAATACGCATTCTTAGCAGACCCTGAAATCTTCTTAAACCCGGAGGCTTCTGCCAAGACCAGTGGAAGTGATAGCGAGGAACCGCTGTTCTGTATGGGAAGAAATCCTCCCGAATCCATTTTTAATATAGCGACCCTTGAAAAACTAGACATTCTTGACTTATTTTTAGAATCAGACTCCAGACGACTTGGGGCATATTTTTTTAAAAAGATACTGCATGCTGACATTTTATTAAAAGGGGGTCTCTTTTCCACGGCTTCGTATTTTTCATTCTCGCCGCCGATAAGGCAAAAATGGATTCTCTTCGACGTGTGAATGAAAACAACGTGATTTCAGTGATTTCCTGCGAGGGGACAGATTATCGTCTTTACTTCACCTTCCCCCTACCATCTTTTATTATCTGCCGGAGGCCCGTGGGAATCATTCATAATATACTTGACCGGAGCCTTAAGAAGTATGGGAGATCAAGTCTCTTATCAGTGCAGCCGACAAATTCCTCTTTCTGCAGTGCGAGAGAGGGAGGCGGGAGGGGGCGACTGAGATGTCAAGGACAATAGGAGCATTGTGAAGGAAAGTAAAATCTTGAAGGTGAGCCGTGTATCGTTTGGGAGACCTCGAGGGGGAGGGAGTCGGGCAATTCGAATGTTTGCTCGTTGGTTTACCTATTGTGGATAACATCGAGCCCACAAAGAAGAAGGAGTTGCTGAAATCCCAGTTGCTGTTCCCACGTCCCGTCGGATCCATTCCCATCCGGACGGCTTCCATCAGATTCTGTGAAGGAAGGCAGAGTTCCGTTGGAAGGTTCCAGCGACCTAAGATGCACTCAGCCACTAGTGATCAAAATACCTACATATATCTCTAACTAAAATTGCTCTGTCCTGTCATCGCTCCATTTGGCTTTCTGACTCAGGACCATAAGACTCTGCTGGATCAGACCAGTGGTCCATCCAGTCCAGCATCCGCCTTACACAGTGGCCAACCAGTTCCACTGGAGGGCCAACAACAGGGCATAGAGGACGAGGCCTTCATAAGAACATCGGAAGACACAGTGACCAACCAGTTCCTCTGACTGGCCAACACCACGGCACAGTGGCTGAGGCCTTCAAAAGAACAACGGAAGAGCCCTGCTGGATCAGACCAGTGGTCCATCTAGTCCAGCATCCTGTCTCACACAGTGGCCAACCAGTTCCTCTGGAGGGCCAACAACAGGGCAGAGTGGCCGAGGCCTTCATTAGAACATCAGAAGAGCCCTGCTGGATCAGACTGATAGTCCATCTAGTCCAGCATCCTGTCTCACACAGTGGCCAACCAGTTCCTCTGGAGGGCCAACAACAGAGCATAGAGGCCAAGGCCTTCATTAGAACATCAGACGAGCCAACAACAGAGCATAGAGGCTGAGGCCTTCAATCGAACATAACAAGAGCCCTGCTGGATCAGACCAGTGGTCAATCTAGTTCAGCATCCTGTCTCACACGGTGGCCAACCAGTTCCTCTGGAGGGCCAACAACATGGCATAGAGGTTGTGGCCTTCATTAGAACACCAGAAGAGCCCTGCTGGATCAGACCAGTGAGGGTCCATCTAGTCCAGCATCCTGTCTCACACGGTGGCCAACCGGTTCCTCTGGAGGGCCAACACCAGGGCATAGAGGCTGAAGCCTTCCCCTGATGTTGGCTCTGGGATTCAGGGGTTTGGTGCCTCTGAATGTGGAGGTTCCTTTCAGTCATTGATAGACTTATATGTCAACCACAACCTAGAAGTCATTTCAGCCTCAGAAAACGGGAGGTCCCCATGTCAGTCCTGTGGCATGTTTGCTACCCTCCCCTAGCTTGTCCAGTTAGCCTGATCTTTCAGAAATTACACCAGCTACCAATCCGCTCCCAAGCTGAATTCAAGGTGTTGGTTCTCACCTTCAAATCCCTACATGGGTTGGGACTGGAGCAATGTTCCCTCTGCCCTGGAGCCGTCCTTCCTGAGCTAAGACAAAAAATCTGTGAGCCGGAGGCTAAAAAACCGTGAGCCAGCTCACACTAACTCAGCTTAGAAGGAACACTGGGCTGGAGTGTCTGGAGGACTGTCCTCTCCCATAAGTTCCTGCTCAGGAGCTAAGATAACAGGGAGAGGGTCTCTTGACTGTCCCACCAATCAAAGAAGCTTGTTGGTTGGGCGCTTCAGACAGGGTCTTTTCAGTGGCAGCCCCGTGACCATGGAACAACCTTCCCGGGGAGGTTCACCCGGTCACCTCACTTTCAATCTTTAGGAGGCAGCTGGTTTTATTCAGGACCACATTTGGTTAAGTTCAAATAGCAATCCTGAATTGCAGTTTTAAATCTTGGCTTTCGTCTTTTCGGTGTATTTCATTTTATGCGTTTGATCTAGGTTGTAAGCTGCCTGGAGCTCCCTCAGAAGGAAAGGCGGCTGGCAACTGTTGCAGATCATTAAGTAAAAGCTGCTTTAGGGGAGCCTCTGGAATTATTATTTATGTTATTTATAGCCTGCCATTAGGCAGCGGCCAGGGCTGGGGTGGCTCAAAGGTTAAGACACTGAAACTGCAGACTGGAAGGTCGGTAGTTCGGCAGTTCGAGACCCAAGTGCCGCAGGACGGGGTGAGCCTCCCGTCTCTGGCCCCGGCTCCTGCCAACCGAGCAGATCGAAAGCAAGAAATTGCAAGTAGATAAATAGGTACCACTTCGGTGGGAAGGCAACAGCGTTCCGTGTGCCTTGGCATCTAGTCATGCCGGCCACATGACCACGGAAACGTCTTCGGACAGTGCTGGCTCTCCGGCTTGGAAACGGAGATGAGCACCGCATCCCTAGAGTCAGATTCGACTGGCTTTCGAGCAAGGGAAACTTTTTTTTTAACAAGCGGAAGCCCGACCTGGATGGCCCAGGCTAGCCCGATTTCATCAGATCTCAGGAGCTAAGCAGGGTTGGCCCTGGTTAGTATTTGGAGGTGAGACCACCGAGAAATTCCAAGTTCACTTGCAGAGGCAAGCCACCTCTGAACATCTCTTGCCTTGAAAACCCTAACGGGGTCGCCATGAGTCAGCTGCCACTTGACGGCACGGTTCTACCCCCATTATTTTCCCTGACTTGAATGGCCCGGGCTGACCTGGTCTTGTCAGATCTCGGAAGCTAAGGTCAGCCCTGGGTAGGAGTTGGATGGGAGACCTCCAAGGAAGCCCAGGGTCGCTACGCAGAGGCAGGCAACGGCAAACCACCTCTGAGCATCTCTTGCCTTGAAACCCATCCGAGAGGTCATCGTCAGAAGTTGGCTGTGACCTGATGGCACTTTGTACTCACACACACCCAGGGGTCACTTCCTGCGGGAGTGCACAGGAGCGGAGCTCCGGCAGTAAAGAGCCCAGGGGGTGGGCACATGCTACAAGCCCCGCCCCCTGCTCCCAGCAGCCCTCAGTCAGAGCAAGAAGCAGCCAGGTAAGCTGCAGAGCCCCCCCCCCGGCCCCCCGATCCAAAACAGTCCAGTGGCACCTTTAAGACCAAGTTTTATTCAGGTACAAGCTCTCCCTTCTCTGTGAGGACAGATCTGCACATTTCCCCCTCCCCCAATAGCTAGCAATCCAAAACAGTCCAGTGGAGCCTGAGCGGTGGGTGTTGCCTTCTGACACACTTCCGGTGATGTCAGGGGGTGTGACATATGCAAATGAGTTATGCTAATAGGCAGGGGTCATTTCGTAGAAAAAGAAGTGCAGGAGCTCATTAGCATAAGTCATTAGCATAACTCATTTGCATGTGCCACACCTGTCCTCGCAGAGGAGGGAGAGCTTGTACCTGAATAAAAGTTGGTCTTAAAGCTGCTACTGGACTGTTTTGGATTGCTTTCTATGGGGGGGGGGCTCTACAACTTACCTGGCTGCTTCTTGCTCTGACTGAGGGCTGCTGGGAGCAGGGGGCGGGGCTTGTTGCATGTGCCTGTCCCCTGGGCTCTTTACTGCCAGAGCTCCGCTCCTTTGCGCTCCTGCAGGAAATGACCCCTGGTAATAGGTTACGCTAATGAGCTCCTGCACCTCTTTTCCTACGAAATGACCCCTGCACAGAACAAATGGAGGAGAGTATAGAAGGGGGAAGAGGCAGTGAGGGGGCTTCCACTAGAGACCAGGAGGTGCTGAAGGACCAGGCTCAGGGGCGCGGGCCACTGCTGTCGGAAGCCCCAGCGACTAAGAGGGCCCTAAGGGACTGCTCCTCTCTGTTTACGTTGTAGACTGTTCCTTTTCCTTACTGAAGCCGCATCTGCAATGCAAAGGGATCTTGCCTCTGTGAGCTTCTTTGACTATTCAAATGCCTCAGGCAAAACAGCCTCTGCCAAAAACAATGGGAAGCAAAGGCGGTGTGGTTTCTGTTGTAGCGAGCGAGTCAGCATGCCTGGACACTGGGGTGCGCTACGTCACTCTAAGTGTGGATGGGTATTATCTCCTTGAAACGGGATGCCTCTCCTTGTCTTAGCCTGGGAGCTGCCCTCTGACCCCTCCTCTCTCTCTCTTTGTCCTTTCACCCTTTGTCCTTCCACTCTCTTCACATGGCCTTCCACTCTCTTCACATGGCCTTCCACGGAGACACACGTTCTTTCTGACTTTTAGTTGGGGGCAGCAACAGTTAAGACTGGCACCCTCCTTCTGTTTCTTTCTGGGTTTTCCCTATGACCACCCCACTTAGTCTTCCCTATCCTGCTGCACAGACAGCACTTTAGCTGGCAAAAGGGGTCTATCTCGCCATCTGGACTGTTAATTTATTGGATTATTATGATAGTTTTATGCAGGGGTCATTTCGTAGAAAAAGAGCTAGGGGAACTCATTAGCATAACTCATTAGTATATGCCACACCCCCTGACATCACCGGAAGTGTGTCATAAGGCCACATCCTCTGACATCACCGGAAGTGTGTCATAAGGCCACACACCCTGCCCCCAATGGTCCCGGCCACCCCCAATGGTCCCGGCCACCACCCATGAGGGGCTCGGCGATGGACCTGCAAGGCCGGCGGGAGTGCAAGGAAGCCCCGCGAAGGCCCTCCCTGGCCCCAGGCAGGCAGGGGTGGGGAGAGGCAGGGAGGAAGCAACTTACCCTCCCTCTTCTCCTGCCTCCTCCTGGCTGAATGAGGGCCGGAAGCGGGGCGGCCGGAAGCAGGGGGCGGGGCTTCGTCATGTGCCCCGCCCCCCGTACCTCACCCGGGGGAACTGTGTTCCCCCGCGTTCCCCCCCGAAATGACCTCTGGTTTTATGCTGATTGTAGTTTAACTGTTTTAAGATCGTCAGTCACCCAGAGCCTGCTTGCAGGGTGGGCAATTCATGAAATTAATGAAATACATAATAAATAAATGTCTCTGCGGGTCTCTACGGTAGAGAGGATGCCCTCGTACTCCCAAACACGCGATGCTGGACAGGCTGGCCATTTGTTTTTTTGTGTTTTTTTAAACTGCCCCGAAAGGCAGAATTGTATTGCAATTTTTCACATGTTTTACACAAAGACAAAATGAACATCTAAACATACATACAACAGGGCTCTTTTTGTAGAAAAAGCCCAGCAGGAACTCATTAGCATAATAGGCCACACCCAACAGCAGGAACTCATTAGCATATTAGGCCATGCCCCTGACAGCACAGCTCATTAGCACATTAGGCCACACCCCCATGTTACCAGAAGTGTGGTCATCCAGCCACACCCACCTTTTGCTTCTTATTCTGTTTACCTTGTTTGTTGTCAAAACCCAGGGCTTTTTTTGTAGCAGGAACTCCTTTGCATGTTAGGCCACACAC